CCCCTCCCTCCCCAGTCCTCCCTCCTACTCTCTTCCCTTTTCCCTACTTTCCTTCCCTCTTTCTCCCCTCTCCTTCCACCCTCCCTTCCCCTCCTTCCTTTCTCCCTTCCAGCCTCCTCCCTTCCTCCCAGCAGCTGCAGCAGAAAGTCTTTGTCCCTGGACAGAAGCCTAGGAGCAGGGGGGCTGCTTCAACTTTCCTCCCCTCCAGCCCTCGTGACTTCTCCCGGAGCCCCTGCACCCCAGCCAGCCTGTGCGCCCCTTCCCAGGCCTGGGCACCGGGCAGCTCTCTGCAGGGATGAGGGGACACAGGGCAGGGCCCCCTGAGCAGAGTCCAGGGGCATGGATTGTCTGGCCGCAGGCCTATCAGAGCACAGGCCAACAGGCCGCTGTGCGGACCCAGCCAGGACCCAGCCAGCACGTGCGTGCATGGCGGAGCCCACCCCGTCTCAGTACAAGCTTTAGAGGGTGGTGGGCCAGGCGGGGGCGGCACCCCTGGGCCCAGGCAGGGGGGGTGGCGGGAGAGCTTCTCACCCAGGGATGTGCCAGCATATGTATCGTAACACATGGACAGCTGCAGGGGATCCTGCTTGAAGCCAATCCCAAACCAGTGGGGGATGGAGCTTGACGGATGGGGTGGGGGTCACTCGGCAAGAGGGGCTGGTTCGGGAGGGAGTTCCTGAAGGATTAGCTGTCCCAGGAGCTCACACTCACCAGCTGCGGGCTCAGGCCCTCAGTGTCACCCTCCAGTTCTCCCACCTGGCCAATGGGGCTGCAGTCCAGCTCTGCCCACCATGAGGCCAAGGGAGGGGAGGTCTGCTGGAGCCCCCAGACGCCTCTGGAAAGCTCAGGGCTGCTGCGCTGTGGGTCTCGAGGAGCGCCAGAGCGGCCTTTACACTGAGAAGCCAGGTCCATGGTTAGCACCCTGTCCTGAGGCAAGAAGGGCTGACCGCCCCCCCCCATCCAGAAGAAGGCAGGGGACTCAGAGGGGGGAATGGGGGCAGCCTGACCAAGACAGGGATTCCCGCCTTGGGCCCCAGGCTCCCTGGCAGGAGTCGTGTGCGCCTCTGCTCCCCTCCCAGCAGGGGGCGGAAGTGAGCTCATCTGGGGCTGTGGGTTTGGGCGAGGCCAGGCAAACTGTCTCCAATCCTCTTCCCACAGGGGCTGAGCTGGGTCCGGGTCCACTGCTGGGCAGGCCTGGGCCACAGATGGGGGCAGCTGCCATGCTGACCACTTCACTGCAGGCCCTGCCAAGCCCTGTTCTGGAGGGGCCTCACTCCACCCCAGCTCTACTGTCCTGGAAAGGAGGCCCCCCGAGGTCGCTGGCCAAACGGCAGGGTGGATTTTCCATGTGGGGAGCCAAACCAAAGCTCTGGGCTCCATTTTCTTGCAAAAGTAAAACAGAAAATCTGGAACCCATCAGCTGTCAGTGGGGATGGAGGGGGCAAGGGCCCCTCGGCTGAGGAGACCAAGATGGACAAAGTAGCCAAGGTATGGGCCTGGGAATGTGACCCAGTTCACGTCCTGCCTCAGCACTCTGCTCCCTGAAATCCAGGCTTAGTAGAGTGGGGGAGCCTCTGCACTGTGGGGCATGTAGCAGGTGCTCAGAGACCCAGTTTACCATCCAAAGGGCAGAGTTACCCAGAGCAGGGGTTTTCAGGGCCTCAGGGTGACCACGGGCTGCGCTAGGGGTCTCTCGGCCTTTCACTCCCCCTTCAACCAGGCAGCCCCCTTAAAATCTATTCTTGGGCTTCTGAATAAGAAATTGCTGGAATCGTGGGCCAGATGCCCACACAGGGCGGCCACCCGCAGCCATCCCACTCCCGAGTCTGCTATTGAGCAGGAGCACAGCAGCCTGCGTGGGGAGGGGCGGCCTGGCTTTGTAGGAAACGGCTGGCTTCAGGATGTCCCTTAGCCTGCTGTCACCTAGTTCAGTGACCTCCTTGCAGACCTGTTAGCTCTGGGCTCCAGTTGCGATTCTAGGAACCGTGAAAAATCAGGGTAGAGTGTCCCTCTCTATCGAGGGCACCTCCTGGGAAATGGAGAAGGACCGGACAGGGCAGATAGCCCTGCAAAGGACTCACCCTCCCCTGTGTCTCAGTCTCCTCATCAGTAAAGTGGGTGGGTATACGAAGAGTACCTCCTTCTAGAGTTGCAATATTAAAGGAGATAGTGCATCTAACGCGCTTACTGTGGTGGCCTGGCACACAACAAGTGCTCGATGAATGGTAGTGGTACTGGTTGCTATTGTTCATGTCATTATTAATATCCCCAGAGCCTCAAGGGACGTCCCTCGGCTTCTACAAGAACACACACTGAGTTGGCCTCACTCCAGCATGACTCACTTGGGCTCGTCTTCATGAGGCAATTGAGAACAAGAGGCCCAGAGAGGGGAGGTGCCCCGGGCCAGCGCGCTCGTGCTGGAGTCAAAGCGGCTGTCTGCTTGCCAGCCTTCTAGTCCGGGGCCACCTCAGCAAACCCTTCAAAAGAAACAAGGCCGTACTCCGTGTGAACTGGGAGGAAACCGAAGGCAGCTTTGATATGTCGACTTGGGAACAAGCTCGCCACAGCGGATCACGGCCATCGCTTCTGCCTGAGCAAAGGACTTGAAACAATGCTTTCTGGGCACGCCTCCTAATGTGCTGGGTGTTTATGATTTTTTTAAGGACCTCATCAAAGACAATGCCATAATGATGTTTCTAACTTAACAGCCGTGCTTTAGAAGGGGTGGATTATTCACATCAGAGATGAAGCAGGGGCTCTGAAAACGGGGTCAGCTGAAGCAGTCCCTTTCCTTGGGACTATTTTTATCTTCTTTCAGTCTTTCATCTGGGGAGACGCGCTGTTCGGAAAGTGTGGGGAGCCCATTGCAAGGAGCCCAAGTTGGCAGAATGTCAAGGCTGAAGCACTAGGGCACCTCGGGGCTTCTTCCTAGAGTGCGAAACCGAGGAAGCTCGAGGAAGTGTGGACAGCGGGGCAGTGGCAGTGTAATGAGGACGGTCGAGGGGTTCTGGGGAACTCCCCGGTTTTTAGTCTTGGAGGTCTCCCGGAGGCCTGGTCCCCATCGTGAGCCTGGAGTACATGGAAGCCATCTTGGTCTTTCCTTTGTTAGCATCGGCTCTTCCCGGCATTCCATGTATCTGGAATGATGTGTGGAACCCCTGGGAAAGGATATGTGGGTTCCGTGTGGGGTGCCTGGAGCAGCCTGCCCTGAGGGAGAAGGGGCTTTGGTCATTGCAAAGCTTCTCAGGGTCAAGTGGGAACCAGCAGTGTCCCAAACTCTGCAGGCCATCCCAGTCCAATGCTGTCAAACTCCTTCATGCCTGTTTGCTTTAAAAAGCACCCTAGACCCGTGCTGTCCAGTCACAGCAGCCGTGAGCCCCATGGGACTATCGAGCACTTGAAATGTGGTCGCTCCAAACTGAGATGTGCTGCGAGTGGAACAGTGCACTGGGTTTCAAAGAAGGACGCAAAATCTCTCGTTAATAATTTTTTTATATTGATCACATGTTGAGATGATAATATTTTGGATACATTGGGTTAAATAAAATATATTGTTAAAATCAATTTCACATGCGTGTTTTACTTTCTATATGTAGCCACTGGAAAATTCAAAATTACCCATGTGGCTTGCATTTGTGGCTTGGTTTCTATTGCTGTTGGAGAGCACTGCTTTAGAAGGGAGCTTTGGAAGATATTAACAATGGCTGTCTCTTGTTGGTGGAGTTACGGAAGACTTCTTTTTTTCCTCTTTTGTACTTTTCCTGTATTTTCTTCGCTTTGCTTCAAAACTAGCCACTCTTGCTTCATATCAGAAAAGGCATGGCTACTACTGTCCCCGGGCTCTTTGGGAAGTGGAACTGAGCTAAGCAGCTTCCCTGGAAGTGATCGAGGCACCAACTCTGTGGTGAGAGCAGGGGCAGGGAGCGGCAAAAGAACAGGGCGGGGGGCTGCGAGGCAGCCAAAGGTTACAACTGGGGCTCTGGGTTTGAGAGCTCAGGGCCCTGGCGGGCAGGAACCCAAGTGAGGGGGTCACAGGGGGGTTTGTTGGCGTGACACAGGAAGTGGCTCCAGCGATGGCTTTGGCCTAATGGGGGAGCCTTTGGGGGGAGGTACATGACAGGAAGCTGCTCTCTTCCTGCTGGGGGCTAGCTGGGCCTTGGACCCCTTCCATCACTCCTGCAGAGAGTGGAGGCTGCTCTGGAGTGGGGCCAAGGTCGGGAGGCCCAGGAGAGAAAGGGGCCCAGGCTCCACCTCCCAGGCAAAAAGATGTTAAAAAACACAGTCAGCCTTTGCTTAACACTCACTACAGTGCCAAGCGCTGTTCTACGTGCTTTACATATATTAGTTCATCCATTCCTCAGTCACAAGCCTATGAGATAATCACTGTTATTATTCCCACTTCACGGATGAAGAAACTGAGGTGCAGAGCCCCGTACTTAACGTGCCCTGGGCCACCGCTGGTGAGACGGCTCCTTGGTGGAGTGGATTTGTGCTTCCCAGCCACCAGGGGCGCTCTTCACAGCAGCCTGAACCCTGGACCAGCATGGCCAACAAATAATAGGAGCCCCACGATAAAAGAGTAAAAATGAAAGGTGAAATCAATTTTACGAATATATTGTCATTAACTCAGTATATCCAAAATGTTATCATGCTGACATGCAATTAACATCGAAATGATTAACGAGATACTTTGTTGTTTTTGTTTCTTTGTTTGTTTTTGGTTTTGGTCATCTTTGGAATCCGGCATCTCATTCACACTTGGGACACATCTCCTTTGTATTCTGTGCAATGTCGGTGCTCAGCAGCCCCAGGTAGTTAGTGGCTACTGGATTGGACAGCGTGGCCCTAGAGCCTGGCAACTTAAAATCAAGAACTAGCCTGGGATGGCAAATCGGTCCTTCTGTCCAGCCCTGATTGTCGGTGCCGCCTGGAGGCCCGTGTGGAGGAGGATTCTAAGGCAGGATTCCGTGTGGAAGAGTGTGTGATTGATTAGCAATGCCTGCCATGGACATGGAAGGGGGCTGTGGAAGGGCCTGTGCCTCTTGTTTGCTAACCGATAGTGAGCCACGCCTGCTTCTGCGGTCCTGTGGGTGGGCGCGGGGAGCACACACTGAGGGTCACTGGTGAGCGCCCCCTTCTCGGCTCGCCTGCAGCTTTGGCTGTCTGCACTGGGCCAGGCTCCATGTATATAGCCTGGGTTCTGGGCCCAGACCCCTGCACCTCCACTTTCTGGCTGTGTGACTCCAGATAAGTGCCTTTACTTCTCTGACCCTCAGTTTCCACGTCTGAAAAATGGGCATAATAACCCGTGCTTAGCAGGACTGTGGTGAGGATTGCAGGAGATGAAGCGTGTAAAGGGCTGGCACACAGCAGGTGTGTGGCGTAAGAGGTGGCTCCCTGTTCTTCTTTCAATCCAGTGCTCACGCCCCCTCCATTCCACTCAGGACACAAGCAGACTCTGTTTCCACCCACCCGAAACCCTCTCGGGGCACACAGCTCCTTACTGTGCCTGCCCAGTGACTTCTCCACCCCATCCAGGGCTGAGTGAGGCCACCTGCTCACTCGCAGCTATACACCCCTCTGACGGGGCCCCTCCTTCAAGGCCAAGGATGGCCTCAGCCCTCAGCAGGCTAGCACAATAACCTCAGCATCTCAGGCTCCATTGGCAGGCCCGCCGTTGCCGGCTCCAAGTGGGGCCCCCACACCTATCAGGCGGCTGACAGAGATGAGACACTCTGCTGGACCCCTGTTTTTAATTACTCCCTCCAGGACACTGGAGACAGGACGTCCTCTTCCTGGCCTCCCTGTAGAACGCTGGCTCTCCTCCAGCCAAGCGTGCAGTGGTCTCCCGTGGCCCACGTGAGTTAACACCTCTCCCAAGACACCCCGGGTTCTCTTCTGGGGAGGAATTTATATCCAGCAACATCTGGCAGAGAGTGAAGGGTAAATGGTGAACACGCTGACGAGGCAGCGACTCCTATTAGGACACAGCTAGCTCTCTCTAAGTATGACGGGGAAAGCAAGTCTCCGGCCAACAGAGTTTCATCAAAATGTTTTATGCAAGACGTATCCCTGACCCTGACAAATCTCCCCGCTCTCGCTGGAAATTAAACAAGTATATTGTCAGCACAGATTCCAATGAGCGCATAAACAGATGCGGCCCACTGGGGTCAGGAGGTCATGGGGTTCCAGCGAACGGAGATGAGCAAGGAACAGGCTCGGAGTGTTTGCATTGTCCTCTGGCCTTTCAGCAGCTCTGCTGTGTGCCGGGGGCTGCAGGAAGCCAGCCTTCCTGCCTTTTCTGTGGCATCTCCCGGCCCGCTCCCTCTGTGTGGCCTCGCCTTCTGAATCATATCCTGAACTCACTTCTGCTCTGCCTCGTGCCACCCTGTCCTGCGAGCACTTGCTTCGCCATCTGTCTCCCCTGGCAGGCCGTGTCCGTTTCGTCTTCACACCCCTGGCACGGAGGACAATGCCTGGCACACAGATGACCTTGAACAACTGTTTGTGTGAGGAAGAGAGCGGAGGAGGGAGGGCAGGCGGTGAGGCACAAGTAGGCCACGCACTCCAGACCCGCCCAGTGTCAGAGTCTGGGGAGCAGAGTTGCAGCTCTGCCAGGTTTCCACTCTGCTCAGTTGACTGACCAGGAAAGTGGGCGTGCCGATGACTGGCTTCGGCACTGGCTGCAGTAAGAATTAAATGACGTGGTGTACACATCTGGTACAGATGAAGTGTGAGCTGGGGGGGGTGGCAGTCGGTGGCTCACGCTCCATGAGAAGCAACACTCGGGGTGCTGAGTGCCTTGACTGTGGTGTGGGGACAGAGCTGTGGGGGAGCAGAGGGAGGGCCGGAGAAAGACAGAATGGTCCCATTTAGATGGGTGCTGCCGGGCTGGCTCTCGAAGGCAGAGGGATCAAGCCCTGAGACGTGAGTTACCAAAGCCTCCCAGAGAGGAAGGGCAGGGGGCAGCCCGGGCTCGTCCAGGACGCTGCCTCTACTGCCTGTAGCTTCCGCTACAACTTCCCCAGGAATTCCTGCTGGAGTGTAGACTGTGGGTCCTAACGTGGGTCTTCCCACTGGCTGCAGAAGAATCACCTGTGGGAAACTTTAAAACTTCCAGTCGGCCAGCTCTAGTCCCAGCCCCAGGCCTGGGAATTCATGTTCAGAACAGGCAGGAAGGACCCTGGCTCTGTGTCTGGGGACTCACTGCCCAGGCGATTCTCATGCCTGGGAACACTGGGAGCAGCGGGTGTGGACCGTCCATCTTATAAATGACTGTAAATATTTGTGCTTTAGTGACATGAGCTCTCAGTCGCGTCAAGATGGGCAAAGCCAGTGAGGGCAGGAATGAGTGTGATAAAACCAGCCTGGCCAAGGCCCCCCACTTCTCCACTCTCCCAGCCCTCCCCCCACCTTCTCCAGGGGCCCCGGGGCCTCCCACTGCACAAGGAGGAATGTGCTGTGCCCATGGAGCCCCTGCAACCCCCATCCGGGGGCCAGCGTGCTGCCCACAGAGATGCCTGTGCCTCCCCCTCTCTTTAAGTTGGTCTCGTTATCTCAACAGCATTGGCTTTCAGGGTGAAGGGCAGCAACCACCCAGGCGGGCATTGCAGAGTGATGGATTCTGGGGCCAGACAGGCTGGCGTCCTCCTTATGTTATTGATGGAGAAAAAGAGCTGAAGGTCAGAATGGCCCCCATCAACGTCCTGGTCTTGGGTATATGAAGCTGAACTCCTTCTTGGGTTGAGCCTTTCCTCATGAGACACAGAAAAGAGTTTGGGGGAGTAAGTAGACTGTGCCAATAGCTAACAGACAGTCCCGGCCTGGGTCTTGAGGGGTCTGAGGGGATGATGGGGAGAACTGGGCTGGTGGAAGGTGTTGGGGTTGCCTTGTATCTCCCAAGCCCCCCTCCTTCACCCCCACCCAAGTCCCGCCTCTCCCCCACTCATGGCCCCCTCTCTGCAGTAGCCTGCCCGGACAGTTACCACCATCATGGATCTGCACAGCACAGCTCTGCAGAGGGAGGGGGTAGGGCTTGCGTCTCTCCATTTTACAGATGAGAATAGCAAGCTTGGCGAGGCCAAGGACACAGTTACACTTGTAAGACACCGGAGAAGGGGACTTGCACGTGACATAGGAAGTGACCTCTATCAGGAGGAAGATGTCACTCCCATTTCTCAGATAAAGAAACGGAGACTCAGAGAGATGCAGTGACTCACGTAAGGATGATGGCGGGAGCCCCGGCACCCAGCATGCACCCAGGGCGCCACATTGCCCGGGCACCTGAGTGGCACCAAACCACCTGGGCCATTTTGATCTGCTTTGTGCATTTGGGGCATGAGTGTGAGAGCATGTTTAAGGAATTATGCTTTAAAGCGACAAGGCTTGACGTCACCAGACTCAGTGTTTCACAGCAGGCAGGAGGCTACGGCTGGAGGGGGTGAGCCTGGCCCTCGTGGGGAACAGAGGGGGGTGGGGTTGACCTTCTCCAGTCTGGGCTGGACACGGACATCCGGGTA